GACCTCTCCACGCCCACTGCCCACTCCGCTCGCACTTACAGTGAGGACCCATGCCAAGAAACACCCTGCTTGCCTCCAGGATGCCCTGGGTTTCCTGGGTTTCGATGGTTTTGCCATGGAGAGCGCGACGTTCCCACACGAAAAATCAATGGACGTCCTGGGGTCTCCGGGTTGGGTTTTTCGTGGAAGGTTTCTTGTGGACTGGCCCCCACTGTAATCACCTCGTCCGCTCCCCCCCTCTGGGCTTGGCATCGCTCGGACGTGTGCGTTTTTCCTTCGGCGAGGACCATCGAGGAGCATCCTTGATCATTTGGCGAAAAAACCACGCACGAAACCAAAAAAACACAGGGAATGGACGTCCGAGCGATGGCCAGTGGGGGAGAACAGCAAACTTTCGGAACCATCGCCCCACAAGCTGGGCAAGTAGCGCCGAGGGAGCGCGGCAGGGGAAGGGAGGCGGCAGCAGCAGCAGGTCTGGCAGGGCAATGAAGGGGCGGCGGCGGCAGCGCCAGGTGGGCAGCCAGAGCGGGCAAGCACACAGCAAGCGAGGGGGGGGGGCAGAGGCCGGCAGGGAAGGTTGGGGGGCAGAGCGAGGCACAGCGAGGGGGGGGCAGAGCGAGGGGGGGGCAGAGGCCGGCAGGGAAGGTTGGAGGGAAGCATCGCAGACCCCAGGGGAGTCGGAGCGGGAATGCGTGTGACGATGCTCTTGCCGCCGCTGCCCCCTCCGCCCTGTGCCTCCTCCGCCCTGTGCCCGTAAGGAAATGACCAACCATTGACATCGCAAACCTGACATCGCACACCTTGTGTGTTCACAGGGATCGTGTTGGGTGTCTGGGAGAGAGAGAGGGATAGAGAGAGAGAGAGAAATAGAGAGAGAGAGAGAGAAGGAGAGAGACAGAGACAGAGAGAGAGAGAGAGAGAAACATATAACATATCCAGCTGATTCTAGTTTGATGTCAACTGCAATGCGGTTAACATGTAATGGAATTAAGCATATCCCAGAACCAGCTGATTCCACTTGGGATTCCTATCGAAGTCTAAGTATAATCGAATTGGACTTGAGCAGGTCACAGATCCAGCTGACACCGCATATATTCCTATTGTCATCTAGTTCTAATAATTGGAATTGACCAGCTCCCAGATCCAGCTGATTCCAATTTGATCCCGATTGGAATCGAGTTAAAGTCATCAAGAGTGGAATGGAATTGAGCAGATCCCAGATTACAGTTGTTTCCACGTTAATTCCTATTGGAATCGAATTAACATCTAATTCGAATTGGGCAGATCCCAGACCCAGATTTTTTCAATTGGGTTCAGCTTGAAATTAACTAAAAGCTAATTGGAGTGGAGCAGATCCCAGATCCAGCTGATTCCAATTAGGGCGGTATTGTGATTTAATTAGAGTGTAAGTGGAGTGGACAGGATGCCAGATCCAGCTGATTCTAATGTGATTTCTATTGACATCTAGTTCGAATCGAATTGGAATTTAGCAGATCCCAGATCCAGCTGATTCCAATTGGATTCCAGCACCAGGAAACAACGGAGAACTGACTAATAGGAAAGATGGATGAGCAGGCGCGGATGAAAAGAAGGTGGGTAACCAGTAAGAGTACGAATGAAGAGATCAAAGACCGATGCACAATGAATGGGTGCTGGGGGGTGGGGTTGCATACATATATATATATATATATATGGAGATATATACATCGATATTTGCAGGTGTATGTATAATACATACTGTAGTGGCCTCCGGCCGGTGCCGCCGATCTGGAGCACTTCCGTTGCTGCCGGAAGCGCGCGATGGCAGTCATGACCGGCGACGACGGCGAGCGGAGAGGATGATGAGGATTGGGAATGGAGGCAACGGAGAAGGATGAGGAGGAGGAAGATAATGATGAGGTGGAGGGGGGTTGGGGGTGGGGTGGCAGGAGTAGCAGGATGCTGAGGATGAGGAGGGCAGGAGGAAGCGGGAAGTGGAAAAAGGGGGGGAGAAGAAGGAGCATGACGAGGACGAGGAGATGTTCGGCGGTTGTTAGAGATGTTCGGCGGTTGTTGGGAAGCCTCATTGGGGCCAGGTGTTGGCCCTCTTTGGGGCCAGGTGTTGGCCGATTCGGCGCACTCTCTGAAAAATTTGGTGCTAGAGCTGCTTGCGAGCGTCTTGTATGCAGTTTTTGAAATTCTTGGGGGTCTTTAGGGGGCTTCAGGGGGCCTCTTCGGGGCCAGTTGGAAGCGTTTTGGGGCCTCTTCAGGCTTCTTGGGGGCCTCTGGGGGCCTGCTGGGGGCTTCCTGGGCCGTCTTCGGCACTTTTTCCGCCGTTCTGGCGCCCTCTCAAGCGCCTCTTGGGTCCGTCCTGGAGCCACCTTGGGCCTTTCCGGGGGCCTCCTGGGCCATTTGGGGCCCTTCTTGGGCCGTCATGGAGCCCTTTTGTATATGTATGCATACATATAAACATGTTTATGTGTATATGTATGTATGCATGCATGTATGTACGCGTGCGTGTGTATGTATGTATGTGCGTATGGATGTATGTACGATGTGCATGTGTACGTATGCATGTTTGTATGGGTCTCTATATGTATGCATATATATACATATATATATACACACGTTTATTTTTTGTTTGTATGCATGTATGTATGTTTGTATGTATGTATGTATGTATGTATGTATGTATGTAAGAGAGAGCGCGTTTCACGGGAGCTTACCTTGGGAACATCCGGCGGCCGTTTCGAACCAGGGCGGGCCCCCCCCCAACATTCGGCGCCATCGATCAGAACCAGGGGATCCTCCTCCCTTCTAACCTTCCCCCTCCCCAACCAACCCCCCCTCCTCCCAGGAAGGGGGGGGGGTCCAAACCCCTTCCCCCCCCCTTGCCGCGCTGGCGCCGGCGCCGGCGCTGGCGGCGGCCAGCAGCGCCGACAGCGGGGACGCAGCAACGATGACCAGAGAGGGTTCAGGGAGGGGAAACAGGGAGGGGGAGGTTCCAAAGGCCCCCCCCCCGGCGTCGGCGCCAGCGTTGGCGCTGGCGGCGGCCAGCGGCCAGCAGCGCCGACGGCGGGGACGCAACAACGATTACGAGAGAGGGCCAAGAGGACGCAGAGGGCCATATCGAGCCCTCGCCCCCCCAAAGCCACCGAGAGGCCCTTTAGCAAGGTCCAGGAGGCTTCACACATGCTCCTCAGACGCCCCCGAAAACTTTCTGACGAGACTTCAAGAGGCATCCAATAGAATTCTTTACGCTTCGCGTATCCCCACCAGCCCATCTCACAGCAGCAACTCTTGCGAAGCATGCCGACAGTCGTGTTTTTCAGGCGTGTGTCCGCTTGGCCCCGCATATCCCCCCTGTTCATCCTTCCTCCCGCCTCCTTTTACATCCTCCTTCTGGGGGGAGCGGGAGAAGGACGAGGCGGAGGAGAAGGGAGAGAAAGCGCTCCTCGTGATTTGAGTCGTTTGGGGTTTCTCGTCCTGGTGTGAGTCGTTCGGGCCCTTCTTCCTGGTGTGAGTCGTTCGGGCTCTTCGTGGTGTGAGTCGTTCGGGCTCTTCGTCCTGGTGTGAGTCGTTCGGGCTTCTCGTGGTGTGAGTTGTTCGGGCCCCTCATCCTGGTGTGAGTCGTTCGGGCCCCTCCTCCTGGTGTGACTCGTTCGGGCTCCTCGTGGTGTGAGTCGTTCGGGGCCCGCGTCGTGGTGTGAGTCGTTCGGGCTCCTCGTGGTGTGAGTCGTTCGGGCGCCTCGTCCTGGTGTGAGTCGTTCGGGCCCCTCCTTGTGGTGTGAGTCGTTCGGGCTCTTCGTGGTGTGAGTCGTTCGGGCCCCTCGTCCTGGTGTGAGTCGTTCGGGCTCCTCGTGGGGCCTCTTGGGGGCCTCTTGGAGCCTCTTGGGGCCTCTTGGGGGCCTCTTGGGGGCCTCTGGGGAGCCTCTTGGGGGCTTCTTGGGGCCTCTTGAGGCCTCTTGGGGGCCTCTTGGGGGCCTCTTGGGGGCCTCTTGGAGCCGCTTGGGGGCCTCTGGGGGGTTTCTTGGAGGCCTCTTGGGAGCCTCCTGGGGGCCTCTTGGGGCCATATTGGCGCCTCTTGCGACCTCCTCAGAAGCGCAAGTGAGGGCTCCCCCCTGAAAAGGACAAAATGAGCCCAAAACATTAGTAACATCAATGATTTTGCTATGAAGGAAGATGAGCGCGGCCCCCTCAGGACGCCAAAATGGGGCCCAAACCGTGGTAAAATCAATGATTTTGGCTTCAAAAAAGAGCAGAGGGGCCTATCTCCGTCCCCCCGTCGGGGCCAGAATCCTCGTGAAGGTCGTCGTTTTTTGGCCCTCCCAGGAGTCGAAATTGACCCCCCTGACGACCCGCCGGACCCCCTCTCCAGGTCCAGGGGGAGGGGGTAGGGGGAGGGGTAAACCCCTCCCCGAAGGGGAAGAAGGGGGGTTGAGAACAGAGAGAGCTCGCTAAACCACTCACGCCCAAAGGGCTGGTGGGACGTTGATCCAAAGCCAAGACACGGTGGTGGGAAGACCCGAAGGCCACACCACCACCACCGCCACCACCACCGCAAACCACCACACCACCAAAACCGCCACCACCACCACAACCGCCACAGCCCACCACCGCCACAACCGTCACCATCACCACAAACCACTACACCACCACCACTATTAAAAACGCCACCGCCACCACCACCGCAAACCACCACAACCACCACCACAACCACCACCACAAGCCACCACACCACCACCATCACCACCACCGCCACCACCACCAAAACCCGCAACCACTACAAGCCACCACACCACAACCACAACCACCACCACCACCACCACCACCACCACCACCACCACCACCACCACCACCCACCACCACCACCACCCACCACCACCACCACCACCACCACCACCACCACCACCACCCACCACCCGCGACCACCACCAGCACCACCACTGGCAACACCACCACCACCAACACCACAGCCCACCATTACCACCACCAGCACCACGACAAATCACCACGCCACC